TGGGTACAATGTTGCATGACCGCGCAATTGTCAATCAAAGTGCGGCAGCGCTGAAAGCTGAAAATTGGCCTGGTAAGGAAGGGGGTATAAGTGCCTGGTAGGCAAGTGGTTAACAGAAGCCCATCCAATGATCGGCTTCAGTGGAACAAGGAGGGCCACACACAGAGGAAATTCAGCCATTCTCTGCTCCTCTGGCTAAACGTTTGATCAGTATGTACCCAGCTTAAGGCATTTTTTTCCTGAAAGTACCACTTTGGGGAAATACACTGTACGGGCATGTGCCAGTAAATGTTGATGCAGAATTCATTGGTGTTTACAAGTGTATAGCCATTCACTTGAATGAGCAGCTGCACATGGCATCTACGGCTCCCTGGGTGTATATTGTATGCTAGAAGACCTTTGCGCATGTAAACATCCATGTGTATCGCCTTCTCTGCCCACTTTTAGGTGATCTCTGAAAACCTCTCTCTTCAGGGAAGCCTATCCTGCCTTCAGCTTATAACAGAATCTTCTATTCCTCCTACCAGTCCATCCCCCACAGTTATTACCTTTTGTACCACCAGCCCCTTCCTCTTAGATTGTAAGCTCCAAGGAGCAGGGCCCTCCTAACCCTCTTGTATTGAACTGTATTGTTGCTGTATTGTCTCCCTTTATTTTGTATAGTGCGGAGCAAACTGTTCGCACTATATAAATCCTGTATAATAATAATAATAATAATAATAATGTGCATGAGGACTTATTATACATCCTCCCGAAGTTTATTTCTTACATTTCAGCATTAATTAACTTTTTCTCTTCTGTGTCAGGGCTCATTCACACCAGGTCACAATGCACTTACCTTTCTTCATCTCTTTCAACACAGAATGCCACTTTCTGTCATTTATGTCACATTCAAGGTAATGCACAATTACGCATTGTAATACACTATGGTGATATGCAGTGCAGTGCGTTTTACTGTGTGAAAATGGCAATAGGCACTGCAACCTACCTCAACACAGCACTGTGGTGTAAACAGGGCACAGTTGTTTTCTGTGTGTCCTTTTATTGCGTTTGTGTTGATCTATGCACATCAAAGAGGCTCAATGGAAATAGAGGGAACAATCCCTCAGGCATGCAAAAATATGACTTCTTCCAACAGACAATAGGAAACCGTTATAAAATAAGCGCACACAAAGTAGTACTGTATCTATGTGTTGTTCTCTTGTGCCAAATTGAATACAATTTATAACACACAGCTTGAAGCAAATGATTACCAAAAGCTCATGTCATTAGCAAAACCCGAAATTTGCAGATTACATGATATCGGGCAGTCTCTATGTGGTCTTACAGCCTATGACTTGGCTAGACTTGTCTGGTCTAACAGGGAGAAAATACAAATAAATAATCAAAATCACGTGATGCCTGAGAGGAAAGGGTACACAATACCAATTCAGGATTGGGATGAGCTAAGTCATGTTTGGTCATGAGTCCGAACCTGCCTGAGCTATATAACTGGGAAGCTCTCAAAGCCAACAGCCAATCAAAGGGCATATATACGTGCAGCTGTGGGGCAGGGGATGCCTCCACCATGTATGGTTGGCTGTCGACTTTGACAGCTTCCTGTGAGAAAGCTCAGGTTGGTCAGAACTCTTGTGCGAACCTGCCTGAGCTAACCAACCGGTACACTCTCAAAGCCAACAGCCAATCATAGGCATCAAAGGGCATGTACATGTGTGGCAGCGGGACAGGGAATGCCTCCACTGCCTATGGTCGGCTGTCAGCTTTGTCAGCTTCCCAGCTGGAAAGCTCAGGTGGGTCTGAACTCTTGTCTGAATGTGCCTGAGCTCATCATTGTTCATAAGTAGAGTTCTAGATTAATACAAATACTTAAATGTAAATAAATACTGCCAATAGGATTATTACAATTTGATACTTTTAATAGTCATATAATTTTTTAAACATAGATTTTGTTTAGTTTCTTTTCATTTACTGTATATAAACTGTAATTGTAATATATACTTTTTAAACTATTACATTCTGCATTCCATAACAACACAACAGACAACACCTGTGCTCTAGGTCTGTATGATTCTGTTATCTCGGTGGGATAGCTCAGGTGGCTCCAAACTTTTGGAGCTCTATAGTGCTACAAATAGCCATTTGTGACTCACTGTAAATAAATAACGCTGATAAGATTATTAGAATTTGATACTTTTAATAGTCACATAATTATTTAACATAGATTTTTTTTTTAATTTACTGTACATAAACTGTAAACTGTAAACTGTAATTCCATGCATTCCATAACAGAGACACAACAGACAACTAGCTCTGTATGATTCTGTTATCTCGGTGGGTTGCTCAGGTGGGTCCGAACCTTTGTCCAAACACACCTTCCTATTCAAAAGTGCAGCACTATATTATTACAAATAGCCATTTGTGACTCATTTTAAATAAATAATGCCGATAAGATTATTATAATTTGATACTTTTAAGAGTCATATACTTTTTAGCATAGCTTTTATTATAATACATGTATATAATCTGTCATTTAAATAACTACTTTTTAAACTATTCTGTCCTGCATTGCATAACAGGCACGGCAGACAACACCTGTCTTCTAGCTCTGTATGATTCTGTTACATATTAATTATTAATGACACGACTAAGGCCAAGTCATATGCATGTTACACTAAAACTATCATGCCTATCAACTTTATACAAAGTATACATTTACATTCCATTGACATAATCAATACCCAAAAGACAAAAATGAACACCTGCAAAGAAAAGCATGTAAACATCCGCTTGCATTAGGTCTTATTGGGCGTATTTACTAAATACGTTGAATATTTATTACTTTTTTACTTAATTTCTTATGGAAATGAAATGTACATCTGCTACCAAACTAAACTTGATTACCCAATGTTCTAAATAATTCTTGAGAGCATCAGCAAATGGGTTTAATAGTAGAAAGAACCTTTCTTTAACCCGGTATAATATGTTGAAAATGGAAACCTTCAAACATTGTCCAGTTTTTGTGCTTACCTTTGTAGGATGTCTCCAACTCTCTCCTTAGTGACAGTGACCCCCAGAGCTGTGCAGGGAATGCCAGGGATCTCCCACCTTTCTGCATGATTTTACTGATAAAACACACCGAAATCCTAATTCATAACAATGGAGAACTAGACGTGTCACACACAGGTGTACGCTTCCCTACTCTGAGTGTCATGTGACCTTAATGCTGGGGAGACTGTCCTGCCCTTGGGAAATTAAACCCAGGCAAAGGAGGCTTCGGTTACAGCAGTAAAGTAATAAGGTTCATGTACCATATGTGTCCTGAAAAAAACCATCATTGGATTACAGTGTCAGTTCTCTGATTCCTTTCCCTAATACTTTTTATTGCTTTTTTATTGTACGTAGAATGTCTTTATTCAATGATCACACACAGGGTAATAATGTGCACTTATCCATTAGCAGACAGACCTCAGGAATTAATACATATGAGTTTAGATTGGATTCTGAAAGACTGCATATTGATCTGTTTCATTGAAAAAAAAAAAAGACAAATATCAGCTGCATATGAACTTAAAGTGTTACTAAACCCAGGACCCTGCATTCCCTATATCTGGTCTCCCACAGTACACAGAACATGGAAATGCAATTATTTTTGGAAATATAAACTGCTAAATACATTTTTTCATCAGCAGTTAGAGCAGTCTTTTGACTCCTATCAGTGTTTAGCAGAGAACAGGTTAAAACTTGTAGAAGGAATTTTTTGTTCTAGGAGGATGCAGAACCCCTGAGCTCTGTCTGAACAGTGCTGATTGGCCCTGTGCTGATCACATGCACTCTCCCAAGAAAAAAAAACTCTCTAGCAATGCACACCAAACTGAGCATGTGCAGCTTGCCCCCAAGGCTCTGTTCTATCAGCAGTTGGATTGGGGACAGTTAGAAATGAAAGTGTTACTAAACCCAGGACCCTGTGTTCACACTGCTGATCACATGCACTCTCCCAAGAAAAAAAAACTCTCTAGCAATAAACACTAAACTGAGCATTTGCAGAGTGACTCCACATGATATGCCTTATCAGGAGATAAGACGGGGACACTGGAAGAAGGGGAGGATCAGAGAAGACAGGATCAAACATCCTTTTTACACAATGCGGAGGATTAACACCTTAGGTTCTACAGTGAGTATAACAAGCATGCTTTACTGCATATACAGACTGATTTTACTGATGTGGGTTTAGTAACACTTTAACCTCCCTAGCAGTATGATTATGTCAGTATTTCTGTGCTCAAAGCGGTACATTTTTTTGCATGGAAATATGTCTTTTTTTTTTATTGTAGGCCTGTAATTTTTAGGAATAACTCACTGAAATCTGTTCGAACAAGAGTCTAGTAAACATCCCGGGTATGATATAATAATAAATTATAATATAAGAAATAATCATAAAAAAATAATAATATAATAGTAATAAATTTAATTCAATAATGTAATCAAACCAAAAACACTGAAATTTGAATTATAGCGCCAAGTTCGCACATCACTGAGCAAAGTCGCAAAATCGTTTTCAGTGTCTGATAATGAATTTCCCCACGAATCATTATCACTCAATTCTGCAAGTGGTTCTAATTTACTATCGCTGTTTTATAGCTGGTCTAAAACCACTTTTGACATAAAGGGACGCTTTTTGGACGCCATGGACATTTCTCAGTTTCAAGGCAGAAAGAACAGTAAAAATGCAGGCAGGGCGCAGGACAAAGCACTAGGGACAAAATGTATGTGAAATGGTTTGATACAGTAATGTTTTACTATGTGATTTTAGTGTATTTTTGTGAATGTCACTTTTTAACCGCTAGCCTACAGGGCATCTATACCCCCTTTCTGCCCGGGCCAATTTCCAGCTTTCAGCACTGTCGCACTTTGAATGACAATTGCGTGGTTATGCAACATTGTACCCATATGAAATTTTTATAATTTTTTGAGACAGATAGAGCTTTATTTTGGTGGTATTTAATCACCTCTGGGATTTTTATTTTTTCTTAAACAAACCAAAAACCACTGAAAATTTTGAAAAAAAAAGTTTTTTCTTAGTTTTTGTTATAAAAGTTTGTAAATAAGTGATTTTTCTCCTTCACTGATGTGCGCTAATGAGGCTGCAGTGATGGGCACTGATAGGCTGCACTGATGGACACTGATGAGGAGGCACTGGTAGGTGGCACTGATGGGCATTGACAGGAATAACTGATGGGCACTGAAAGGCAGCACTGATACATGGCACTGATAGGCTGCACTGACTGGCACTGTTAGGCGGCACTGACAGGCACTGATAGGTGGCACTGATGCACACTGATAGGCGGTACTGACTGGCACTGATAGGTGGCACTGATGGGTGACACTGAAAGGCAGCTCAGGTGGGCACTGATATGTGGCATTGATGTACACTGTTAGGCACTGATATGTGGCATTGATGTGGCACTGATGGGCACTGGCACGAGGCACTGATGAGCACTGACACAAGGCACTGATGGACACTGACAGGTGGCGCTCCTGGGGCTACACTGATCATCAGGGCACACTGATCATCAGTGCCCTGATGATCAGTGTACATGTCCCCTCCGCGGAAAGCCGATTACCAGCTCTCCTCTCCTCTCGAGCTGTCAGCGTGACAGCTCGAGAGGAGAGAAATACCGATAACCGGCATTTCCCTGTTTACATGTGATCAGCTATGATTGGACACAGCTGATCACATGACCGAGCCGACATCTTCGGCTCTTTCCATGATGGGTGATCCCACCGAAGGACACAGCGCATCACCGATCGCCGCGCTGTGCTCTCCCTGAGCCGCGCATGCGTGGTGAGAATGGGAGGACGTCATATGACGCCCTCCCAGAATGAGAGAACCACCTTGCGTCCGTCATATTACTATATGGCAGGCTGGAGGTGATTAAAATTTTTAAATTTCCTGCAGGTTTTGGCCCCTGTACATCCCGTACGTCCCAACGCTCGCAGGTACCAGAACCCGGCCGGAGGAGATGGCCGGCGATGCTGCAGGGGACACATTGCGGGAGCGCAGGACAAGGTAAGTGAATCCCTGAGCAACGCTGCAGGGTAATCCTGTGTGTAGTTTGGGGTTACCACTTTTGGCACTGATAATTAACCCCGAGCTACACTCAGGAATACCGCCAGGGAGGTTAAGCTAAAGCCATATAACACTAATAGAGGTGTATATATTCAGAAGTTATGATCTGCTTACCATAGGGCTCATGTGCAATGGTAAGAATCTGCATGTTCACTACAGCCCTAGCAATGCTTTTATGCCTCCTAATTCAGGAAAGCATTTGGACCAGTGTATGTAATATTACCAACAAGTGTGGCAAATTTAAGTAGATCTTACTACAGCCACTTTAGGAAACTTTTGCTATAGCAGAGACATAACCACTTCAATACCAGACATTTTTACCAACTTCCTTCTCAGGTCCATTTTCAGATTTCAGTCACACTTTGAATGACAATTACTCAGTCATGCAACACCAAGTGAATTTTTTAATCTTTTTTTTTGAGACAGAGCTTTTTTTTGGTGGTATTTAATCACCACTGGGTTTTTTTTATATAAATGAAAAAATATAGAAAATTTTGAAGAAAATATGTATGTCTTAGTTTCTGTTATAACATTTTGCAAATAAATAATCTTAAATTTAGGCCAAAATGTATTCTGCTGCATTTCTTTGGTAAAAATAACCAAAATCAGTGTATATTATTTAGTGTGTGTGAAAGTTATAGTCTACAATCTAGGGCAGGGCTTAAAATTACAAGTCATGAGCTACTAGCCAGGCCTTAGAGTTACTAGCCACCAACAAACACACACAAACAGAGACACCTGTACACACACACACACAGACATGTACATACACACACAGACACATGTACACACATGCACAGAGACACATGTACACACACACACATACAGACACATGTATACACACACAGGCACGTACAGACACACATACACACAGATACATGTACATACACAGAAATACACACGCACAGACACATGTACATTATTATTATTATTATTATTATACAGTATTTATAAAGCGCCAATAGTTCGCTCAGCGCTGTACATTACACAGACACATGTACATACAGACACATGAACATACATACACATGTACGCACATACACACAAACACACACACACACACACATATATATATATATATACACACACACAGACACATGTACACACACAAATGCACAAGGACACATGTACAATTGTACATGCATACACAGACACACACATGTACACGTACACACACCTATAAAAAGTTGCAGTACTTCGTTGTTCACTCACAGATCCGGGTACTGCACTCTAGGGGGAGGCAGAGAGCACAGCACACACTCCTTGCTTTGCTTTCACTGCGCTCGGCTAATGAACAGTCTGACAGCTCTCAATGCAAATGACAGATCTGGCCTGAGATGCGAGCCTGCTCAGCAAGACGGCCCTGGGGGACACACTCCATAATTTCCACTCACCCTGATCTAGGGTATATTAATATTTGAAAATTGATCAACCCTGACGTACTAACATCTCATTTCTTGGGACTCTAACATGCCAGGACAGTACAAATACCCTCCAAATGACTCCTTTTTGGGGAAAAAAAAAAAAAAAAAAAAAAAAAATATATATATATATATAGGCACTAACTCCACCCATTACATCACTATAGACAGTCCTTGTCTATACACTATTTTAGGACAGAGCCACCAAGGGGCAGACTGGATAACTACACCTTCTTACATACAGAGGTACAGGCTGTGCCTGTGCTGGGACGCTTTCGTGCGCGATAGCTTCCCTCACAGGGCTGTATCCCTGGACTCATTTAGCTGTTGCCCAGAAGATTTAACTGGGTGCAGTAACCAGCACTTTCAGTGTCTATGACACCCTTCATAAATTCCCTTGTGTGCTAAAAGGTGTCCCTTTGTTATCATTGCAGAAAGTTGGGAGGTATGTACTATAGCTTCCTGCTATCCTACCTTTAATTGGTCTAAGTAATTGTCCTGATGTCCCTGTGCATACAGATGTCAGCATTCCAATCCTTGTTAATTATAAACTGTGCTTTTTTCCTCATCTTGTCTCATGTCGAGTAGTTGGGCTGCAGTGGCTTCAAATGTTTACTGGAGCTAAAAATACATCTTGTAGGGCAGACTGAACCCATGACATCTAAATTTGCAGTAAAGATGCTGCTTTTGTTGGTCTGGCTCTTTTCTAGAAGCAATACCAGTATGAAAAACAGAGATCAAATTGTGAAAAGGGTAACTTTAAAGTGTGTGTATAGCCAAAACTTTTTTTGTCCACTTTGATAACCCTTAAGCGATGTTTTTAGTGAAATATAAGAAGTCTGAATTGAGCTTCCTTTGGTGAATAACAGGGTTGAATTGTCTAAAAAACATTCCAGCCTCTACTCTACTATAACTGCGTATATTGTTTTTTATGGTTTTACAGTTTTACAATGGGCCACTTCCACAATGAATGCTGAGGTTTAGCTTGGGGAGAGGGGTTATACATTTTATGCTTTTTATACATCAACAAAATGAGATAGTATAATCAAAGAATAAATGGTGAGCTCAAGACAAAAAAGGAAAAATTAAAGCAGCTAGCACAACGTGGCAAACCCTCTGTCTCCACCAACAAAACACTATAATATGAATATGCAGCTCTAATAAAAATGTGTGTCATAATCAATGATGACCAATGTGATAGTAAGAGAGGAAGGAAACATCATAAACAAGAAATTGAAAATAGTGAATACTCCAATGAAGAAACAAAATGGACGATATAACAAATAAAATGAAAATATATAAGTCCTCTAAATATCATAATAGTCCCAAAAATAGTGATGTGATCAAATCAACAAAATGTAGTGACTTCTGTGACTTCTGCACTGCACCTCCACCATAATGCACTCACCAGAAGTAAGTAGCAATCCCAGAGCGGAATGACACTAAGGAGTGTACCTGCTTGTTCCTCCTGCCTGTGACTTGGTTGAAGGTGGGATCTCTCCAGAAGCCAGTGATACATCAAATGAACAATAAAATGTAGAGTAGCCAAATCTCCAGCCCACGGTGAACCAAGGAAAGGGATTCCTCCTAGAGGGCAAGCTCATAGACTGAGCCAGGAGACAGTATCATATAGTGGAATATGTTTTATTAAAAAAATAGCAACCACGTGGAGCATAAAATCATCAATGGATAAAAAGCACTTACAAAGATGGCCGCCAGACCATCACATGGGCGCAGTGGCGTGACATCAGCACATGGCGGCTCGATGTGTTTCGTACGCACGTTCTCAAAAGGGATCCTTTCTCTTTTACTATCACATTGGTCATCATTGATTATAACACACATTTTTATTAACGCTGCACATTGATATTAAAATGAGAGAGTAAGTTGGGAAAAAATGTGCAACAGCCTCCTAGTAGGTACTTGTTTTTGGCTCCTTCTGTAATCAAGGGAGCAGAGATTGTTTGGGTTGGTCTGCAAGGGGTTTCACAGGCTGGGAGTTTGATTGCTTCTCCTTGCTTCTAGAAGATGCTTCCAGAGGTTAGGAAGGGAGAATTTAAATAACCAGTCTAAATATTGACCAGGGCCCTGCCAAGCCTTGGGGGGATGGCGGTTAGGTAGCTGAGAAATAGTTTGAAGTCCTGGAGAAATTGTCTTTCCCCAGGAAGGAAAGTTCCCAGCCTTGGGTGGGGGTGCTGTTGCCCCTGAGGCAGCTTAAGGATTGTTTTGCTGTACTGCAAGGATTCAGGAGCTGCAGTGTTGGAGCCTAGAATCAGCCTGGATCTGACTGCAAGCTTTCTTTAAGGGATATGGTCTGGAGAAGGATTGTCACCCTCAATGAGTGGTGTCCAGAGAAGGCTGGAATGAGGCAGCTATCCTTGGCAGTAAAGACTCTAAAAGTGATCCTTGTGACTATATAGTGTTCTGAAGACTGCACCAGCAGTTATACATTTGAACACGGTAACTAGATGCCAGCTTGATTTGTCCCCCCATTGTCTTCAGCTGTGGGGGAATAGACTATTCAGTGTTCGCATTCACATTGAAAGAAGACTGTCTTTCAACTGCTAAGTAATAACTGTTTTGGAGTATCCATTAGATGAATCTATTATTTATAAACAGTCAGGTCCATAAATATTGTGACATCGACACAATTCTAACATTTTTGGCTCTATACACCACCACAATGGATTTGAAATGAAACGAACAAGATGTGCTTTAACTGCAGACTGTCAGCTTTAATTTGAGGGTAATTACATCCAAATCAGGTGAACGGTGTAGGAATTACAACAGTTTGCATATGTGCCTCCCACTTGTTAAGGGACCAAAAGTAATGGGACAGAATAATAATCATAAATCAAACTTTCACTTTTTAATACTTGGTTGCAAATCCTTTTCAGTCAATTACAGCCTGAAGCTTGGAACGCATAGACATCACCAGACGCTGGGTTTCATCCCCGGTGATGCTCTGCCAGGCCTCTGCTGCAACTGTCTTCAGTTCCTGCTTGTTCTTGAGGCATTTTCCCTTCAGTTTTGTCTTCAGCAAGTGAAATGCATGCTCAATCGGATTCAGGTCAGGTGATTGACTTGGCCATTTCATAACATTCCACTTCTTTCCCTTAAAAAACGCTTTGGTTGCTTTTGCAGTATGCTTTGGGTCATTGTCCATCTGCACTGTGAAGCGGCGTCCAATGAGTTCTGAAGCATTTGGCTGAATATGAGCAGATAATATTGCCCGAAACACTTCAGAATTCATCCTGCTGCTTTTGTCAGCAGTCACATCATCAAGAAATACAAGAGAACCCGTTCCATTGGCAGCCATACATGCCCACGCCATGACACTACCACCACCATGCTTCACTGATGAGGTGGTATGCTTAGGATCATGAGCAGTTCCTTTCCTTCTCCATACTCTTCTCTTCCCATCACTCTGGTACAAGTTGATCTTGGTCTCATCTGTCCATAGGATGTTGTTCCAGAACTGTGAAGGCTTTTTTAGATGTCGTTTGGCAAACTTTAATCTGGCCTTCCTGTTTTTGAGGCTCACCAATGGTTTACATCTTGTGGTGAACCCTCTGTATTCACTCTGGTGAAGTCTTCTCTTGATTGTTGACTTTGACACACATACACCTACCTCCTGGAGAGTGTTCTTGATCTGGCCAACTGTTGTGAAGGGTGTTTTCTTCACCAGGGAAAGAATTCTTCGGTCATCCACCACAGTTGTTTTCCTTGGTCTTCCAGGTCTTTTGGTGTTGCTGAGCTCACCGGTGCGTTCCTTCTTTTTAGAAGAATGTTCCAAACAGTTGTTTTGGCCACGCCTAATGTTATGATATCTCTCTGATGGGTTTGTTTTGTTTTTTCAGCCTAATGATGGCTTGCTTCACTGATAGTGACAGCTCTTTTGGATCTCATCTTGAGAGTTGACAGCACAGATTCCAAATGCAAATAGCACACTTGAAATGAACTCTGGACCTTTTATCTGCTCATTGTAATTGGGATAATGAGGGAATAACACACACCTGGCCATGGAACAGCTGAGAAGCCAATTGTCCCATTACTTTTGGTCCTTTAACAAGTGGGAGGCACATATGCAAACTGTTGTAATTCCTACACCGTTCACCTGATTTGGATGTAAATACCCTCAAATTAAAGCTGAAAGTCTGCAGTTAAAGCACATCTTGTTTGTTTCATTTCAAATCCATTGTGGTGGTGTATAAAGCCAAAAATGTTAGAATTGTGTCGATGTCCCAATATTTATGGACCTGGCTGTAGATGTGTGCGCAGCAAGGAGTAGATGTCAAGACTGCTGAGCATGTCCAGCCCTTTTCCAGGCAGACATTGACTTTTGGCCAGTGCAGGTACAGCAGGTCTCCTCCAGGTAGTCAGGGATTATGTCATTGTGCTGTGTGAGGAGAAAGCCTGTAGCCTCAGCTATCCAGATCAGAAGGTAAGCTCACCGACATGCTGGGGGCATGGGTAGAGGGTGTTTGGGGAATGAGCCTGAGTCTGCAGTTCTGACTTTGTAGAAAGCACATGCTCTTCTGGTGACCTCTGTGAGCAACAGGACTCCCCCACAGAAGCCACCAGCAGAGCACGATCTATATAGGAAAAGCCAAGCTCATATGCTAAACCCTATGCATTACATGAATGTTCACTGTTCAACCTTCTCACACTGCAGGACACCTTAGGGGGTAGTAACTTGTCCATCTGTGATGACATGACAGCTGTGTGTTGGTCTGGCTACACTATAGCTTAGTTGCCAACAGCAAATGTTTCTGACAGGACATGGCAGGAAATGCTCAGGAAAGTAAAACAATCATAAGCCAATACTGGGGGTTGATATTGTTGCCACGGCCGGTATGCTCACGGTTATTATTGCTGACACTGTCAACAAAGATGGAGATCATTTTACTCCAACTTTCTCTCCTAAAACATAGGAAGGCAGAGAGGGAAAAGAGTTATACCTCAAGTCACATGCT